CACAATCTGGGAGAGAGCGAATCTTGTTGGCAAAATCGTTATTTCTGAGTTCCACCATCCTGGCCTGGATAATTTTGGTTAGCCTATTGACATTGGTCTTCAAGCGGGGCAGCCCAGAACGCTGGAACTGCCGACGAATGGTGTTACGGAGCCTGATAAGATCTTTGGTTGGGCTGTCAAGGTTCAGAGTATGACTCACCTGTCTGGATGCTGGTACGTGTTGCTCCCTGGCACGCGATATCACCTCTTCGATGGTTTGCAGACACTGGTCGACTTCTTCGAACGACTCCGGTAGGACGTCGTAGTCGATTGCTGTGTCCACACAGCACTGGTACTGCTGCCAGTTGATACGATGGTAATTTCGCCGGGAAACTTGGCCGAGGAACCTACTTCCGGATAGTGGTCCGAGTTCAGTTCCTGATAGGCGATAGGTTGAGAGATGTTATCGACAATGTTGCTGATGAATATGTCGATGGTGGCATGAGCTCCGGATCGACTCATCCGGGTAGGATTGTCCGGACACAGCATTTTGTAGTGGGCTTCCTGCAGATCGTTGTATAAGATTGTGCCGTTCTGATTTCGCCGACTATTGCCCCAGGCTTGACGCTTGGCGTTCAGATCGCCAGCGATGACGAAATTTTGCCGCCGTCGTGTTAGTTTGATGATGTCTCTTCGGAGGTCTGCGGCCGAGCCGTCCCTAAAGTTGGTTTGCTTGGGGCAGTAGATCGCGATGATGGTGATTGGACATCTCAACTCCGATGGCTTCGATAATTTTCAGCTGGAAGCTTGGTAGTAGCCGGCAGCTGATGTTCCGTCTCGCAGCGATGGCCACTCCCCCTCCCCGGAGCTAGTGCGGTCAAGCCTTACGAGCCAAAAGTCGGGAAGGAAGACGTTCAGCTCGGGCTTCAAGTGAGTCTCGGTGATGACGGCTATGTCGATGTGTCGTTCGTTGAGAAAGTCAACAAACTCGATGTTTTTGCTCTTCAAGGGCAAGCATTCCAATTTACGATCTTGATGGCTTCACGGTCCATACTTAGTGACAAGGGACAGGGCAGCATGTAGCTGTTCATATCTAGTCTTGCAGGTGCGCATGATGATGATGACCTTAACCACGAGCGTCACAACTCGGAGGTGAACGAAGAATCGTCGACAGGTTCACCTGAGACAGCACCAGCGTATGATAAACCAGGAGCGGTGAATAAACCTGTAATTGGCTGGGCTGGAGCAGCATCGAGATGGTGCTGAACTGTCCGACTGTTGGGAACCATTTGGATACTCGCAGGATTGGCTTGTTGGTTGTTGAGAAAATGACAATTTTCCAATTCAAATATATCAAATTAGAAAATTGATATCGCTGCAATTTTTTCAGCAAATATAGAACTAAATTTCTTCTTTCCATTACTTTCAATAGATTTGAAATTGGCTTGCGCGTTATAAAGTTATGTTAGTTTGAAAAATACTTGTTTCTTACCTTAAAATGACTATATCTTTTGATTCAGAGGTTCAAACGTAATAATAAGTTATCAAAATGTGTGTTTTTTAAAGTTCTAAAAGTGTTCTGAAGAACAGTTTTCTCTGAATACAAAGCAAAAAAGGTTATGGTCAAAAAACTGTTTTTTCATGAATAACCCTAACCTTCTAGTTGTTTCAGTTCGTAGAATGCGTAGATGATGAGATACAAATGTGACGTCTTCGACAAAGTTGCTTGGTTTTGCATCCTCTACAAAAATTTCCCTGAAGAGTAAGATTTTTGAAGTCACCCTAAAACTGAATCACCCTAATGACTGATCCAATGAAAAGATGCGCTTTTTTATTACCAACAACTCTTTCGAAGACATCAAAACACTAACCAGTAGATTTTGCGGAAAACCCAATTTCCATGTATTTTTCCGCTCTGGACCACTGCATTGGTGTTTCTGGTGCGAAGAATAGAGCACAAATATAATGGCTACTATATCACACTGCAGAATACAGTGTTGTCCACAGAATAGGTGCTAGATCATGCCATAAGATTATCAATCAGTTAAACTATTAATAACAATTTAATTTGACATTTGGCTGGAAAAAAAAACTGGGCAAAGTTGTAGCTTATAAAATTTCCCGTAAGAATAATTATAGAAATTTTCGAAAAAAGCAATATGGAAAATGGGTAGAAGACAATGAACAAAAAGTTTGGTTTTCCCATAGTAATTTCCATATAAATTTCAAAGGGTTTGTGTCAAGTCAGTTTCTTACTAAATGATATCAAATTTTGGAAGGTTAATCAGGAACCAATTTGAACCCTTTTGAGCACTGTGGAGCGAAAATTTCAAATTTTGCATCAGTCTGGTGGACACCCCCTCCCCCGGCTTCCTACTAATTTGCTTTACGCATGGTACTTGTATAAGTATTGAAATGGAAAAACACTATAGTTTTCGTACCATTCAAACGATAAAATGCTCCATAAATAGAAAACGCTCAATTACTGTCCACTTCGTGTCTTTGTAGTTAGCTTTCTGTAAAATAATTCCAATAATGAAAAACTTTTTCCACTAATTTCTTACGAACCGAAAAATTAGTGCGCTAATGACACCGAGACGGTTCAAAAGAAACCCGCAGCGGAAATCGAACCAGCCGCCGACATGGTGAACCTCATCTTTATGGATATGCTTACTCGTGCCAAATTTGCTTAGAAACTGGGCAGCGAGATTTGAAACGAACTCTCGCGTTTCAGTTTAATTACTTAACAGATGCATTGACAAAGTGCTAATCAGGGTTGCTTCCACTCACTTGCTATAAAAAAATGATTTCCTAAATTTTGAAATCATTAGATGTTATAATGATATTTTGTACTTGTAAGATACAAGAAGATGTTGAAAGGCAAGTGTTTGACTCATAAAACCTGTCAATTTCGCTACCAGAGTGTTACAATAAGTGATCTTATGATTCGTGAGCGTTCACTCAGAGTGAGCGCTCGCGAGTCGTAAAATCGCTGATTGTGACTATCTGAAAGCAAATTTGACAGGTTTCATGTGTCAAACACTTGCTTTTCAACCTCTTCTTGTATCTAACAAGTATGAAATATGATTATAACATCTAATGATTGCAAAATTCAGAAAATCATGTTTTTATAGCAAGTGAGTGGAAGCAAGCCTGGACTGCTAATCATGACAAATTGGAATAAAATTTCAATACAGTTAGCATCTATTTCCCTAACTACCCCAATCAGTCGTTATCTAATCGCAGTTTCACTTCCCAGCATTGAATCACCAAACGCAAGGAGAACTTTTCTTATCAGACAATCGTGAAGAAAGCTGAATCCATCCGTTTTCATGCTTGTTTAACTTTTCCCACCCCTGGTTGTTGTTGTTGTTGTTGTATTCGAACTTTGCTCTTTCTTGCGGATCCGTCCAAGCGTGCCTCAAGTCTCATTTAGGTTATTTTAAGCTTGCGAAAAATTAACCGATGAACTATCTACCTTCAGGGAAAAAATGACATTTAAAGTTACTCGCCTCGCATCGTGAGCACGACTTCGTGCGCAATGAAAATGTCAAACATTCAACAAAGTTAGGGAGAAAGCACCGGAAAAAAAACAAGCCATCGAGCTTTTCCATCATTTGGCGAGTGGAAGTTTGTCACAACAAGAGGACCAAGGAAGGGGAAACGCGCAAAGATCAACCGTTGATAATTAATTAGTAGCTCACCGAAAGTCATTAAATCCGATTATATGGTGATGTCAGTGCGGAAATAGTCGACGACGTTTGGACTCCTTTTTCTGTCGTGATAATTTTTGTTTATTAAAAGGACAAAGTTTTCCCCTAAAGAAGGGCTTTTTTTTAAATCCTTCAATGACAGAAGAACTTTTGTTTCTCACATTTATTATCTGAATTTGCGCGCTAGGTAATTTATTTTGTTGACTTTTGTCGATTTCAGCTCGAAAGCGTTGTTTGTTTATTTTTAAGTGAACGGATTTGTCATTTGTGTAATCGATGTATTAAAGGAGTCTAAAGCTCGGAGGCCGAAAGGAAACCTGTGGTGGGTAGAAATGAGCAAAAGGATATTTCTGTGCTGGTAACGATGGAAGTAAAGTGAAGGAGTTGCATGGTACAGGAAGGGATTCAGACAAAGGCAAAGACAAAAACGACGGCGACGCCGAGATGCACGATTCCGTGTAGATTCCGGATCCGATAACGATTTAATGATGATAAACATGTAAACAACCGTTTATGCATATTAGATAAATGGAATCCGATAGTTAAATGGATAATGTTCGTTGAAGAGGTAAAACGATTTGCTATTAATAAGTTTGAACCAGATTTTTATTAAGAAAAGTTCAATCCGGAAAGAACCTCCCATATTCAAATGATTGATTGATACATTAGGATACCATTATGTTCTCCAGCTCTCAATCAAAATGTTTTGAAAGTGATCCTTAGTTAAAAACAATTGGAACGTAGTAGCCAAGCGGATCTGTGAGCCATCCGACCCACTGGCATACACTTTATCAAACAATAGTTAAAACATGATGACAACCGATGACAAGCCTTAAAAGTTGTCCATCATCACCTAGCCTAATGGAGGTTTGATCCATAATTGCACCCGCTCGAATTGCATCACAAAGTAATAAAAATTAAAAGCCCTGCTCCATAACAAATTGCGATCAGTCATGAAAGCTCACGTTCACGTTCATGGCAACCGGTCGTTCTTGGGACAATGCCGGTTTTAAACTTAAAGTGATTAACGGAAAAACTTTTCCCGCGCAAACAACGGATCGTTGAAAGCTACCGTAAACAACTGCTTCTGCTGCTCCTGCCGAGGCTGGATTTGTTTATTGACAACATTTCCCACGTCACAAACTGCCTTGGCCTTTGGCCCAAGCTCGGGTTGAAGGAAGTTAAATCGTGATTTGTGCCAAATCATGCCATGCTATATCTGTCACTGCCAATAATGGCTCTGCGGCACGAGTCGCAGGCATCCTCCACAATCGATTAAAAACGAATCCTTTCTCTCTGCCGTTTCAGCCTGAACCTGTATGAGCTCATCAAGAAGAACAACTACCAAGGCTTCAGTCTGAGCCTCATCCGAAGGTTTTGCAACTCCATAGTCAAGTGTCTCCGGCTGCTGTACCAGGAGAACATCATTCACTGTGATCTAAAGCCCGTAAGTGCCATCCGACCACGATGAACCGAAATGGACAAATCCGTGTCATAATCCATTTACCATTTTCCTCTGTATGCTCTTGTCTTCGGTTTCCCATTCCAGGAAAATGTTCTACTCAAACAACGAGGCAGCAGTCTGATAAAGGTTATCGATTTTGGTAGCTCGTGCTATTCGCACCGCAAAGTGTACACCTACATTCAGTCCCGCTTCTACCGGTCGCCAGAGGTCATACTGGGCCTGTCATACGGGACGCCCATCGATATGTGGAGCTTAGGTGAGTTGTTGTCGAATTTTATGTGAACCGGTATGTCAATGTTTGCCGACGACTCACAGCACAGTGTCCGGAAGCCGGACAAAACGTCAAACATCAATTTTGATGATTAATTTATTTTTTCTCTGTTTGCACATACTTTTATTAAGATTTTCCCAAATTTTCATATCAATTGATTGGAGAATATTTGTATGTGGATAGAATAAGTGACGGTTCATCAATTTTTACCATCAACTATTTATTGGATGATTTCCATAGCGTATTGAAAAGCGCACAATTCAGTTGATTAACCTGGTGGCTATTTTTGGTTAAAAATACAAGGTTTGATAGGAATTTTACTTCTTATTTGATAAGTTATAAGCACATGCTAAAATGTACCTTTCAATAAAATATTCATGGAAAATGACAGTACTTTTAAGTGAAACAGCTCGAAAAGATACCGTATGTTGGATCGCTTATACAATGTTCTCTAGTTGTTGGAAATATGTGTCACTATCTACGCATTTTTTTTTTGTTTATTAATTTATTTGATAAGGCTCAACCGAATTAACTTTACAGAGCCGAGGATTCTTGGTCACTATACAATAGATCTTAAAACTATAGTCAAAAGGTACAACACAATAAACACTTTATCTTCCGCTATCCAAAAAGCCTCCTCCATCAGAACTGGAGCCGCTTCCAGTGGTTTCATTGTATGGCAAATTGTTGTACGCCAACGAGGGTCAGAGCGCGTCCATTGCAGCAATGGACGCAAAACGTGGTCAGCACTCATACACTCATCACGAAACGGTTGCTTTCCAAAGTCGACGACGCATCGACCGAAAGAACTGCTGATGAAGAACAATGAGGAGGACCACACAATGGTTGCTGCCGAGAAAACAGACGATCGCGTAGCACACATCGAGAGTGGCCTGCTTTTGTCGACAGCCGAGTGAACACTCAACTATCTACGCATTACTCGATTAATTTTTGAATACGTCCTGTGTACTTTTGTCAAACAAAGAATCGATTAACTTCATTAGCCTTCTACAATAATTATACGAACAGTATTCAATTTAATATTTGAACTTTTGTTTGTATGCATCAATATTGCAAATCCATCCCTCTGCTAATGGTAGTGAATCGAGTTAATCAATTTCTAGTCGACAAATATACATAAAGCCTATTGAAAAAATACTCCAAATTGCTGCGGTAAGCATGCAACAAACAAATTTTGTGAAAAAAAATATTAAAGGGTTGCGTCATAGACACGACCGCAGTATGACGTAGAACTACGCAAAATTTATGTATGTCATACATTTATGACGATTATACTTTATCTTAAACTAGCTGAGTGTGCCCGGCCTTGCTCGGGATTCAATATTAGCTTGAGTTTACGCACCAATTAAAAAAAGGATGCTATATTTTACGTAGCCCCCCTTTATCTAAGGGGCCACCCCTTATGACCACCACATGCCAAATTTGGTTCCATTTGCTTGATTAGTTCTCGAGTTATGCAGAAATTTCTGTTTAGTTTGTATGGGAGCCCCCTCTTACAGAGGAAGGAGGGGTCTCAAACCATCATAAGAACCTTCACCGGCCCCAAAAACCCCTGCATACACATTTTCACGCCGATCGGTTCAGTAGTTTCCGAGTCTATAAGGGTCAGACAGACAGAAATTCATTTTTATATATATAGAAGATAGATTTTCGGTTATGGTTCAATGTTGGTTCAAGTGTTTTTCGTGGAATGTAATAAATTATGAACATTCAATTGTGGAGTCCTAAACAAGTCGTTACCGCACCTCAGTGGCTTCCATGCATATTGTGGGATAAAACAACTACGAAAAAATACGTTAATTTTGTTCAGTAGCTTCATAATTAGTTTTAAATTAGGGCTCTGAAGCAGAGAAGAGAGAGAAGGTTGCATTTTGTGATAACGCAACAGGCAGTTGTTTTTCTTTTCAGAAGACGGTACTTTCAATATTGAACAAAATGTTTGTTCATATGTCAGCGAAGTAGGGACCATACGGGGTTTAACCCTCCGTTACTCGCGCCAACTTTTGTAACACGAGTACTCGCGCGTTGTACTTTGTACAACAGTGTGAGTTTTCCATTGCCATTTTGCAGTCGACCTACCAATCTATATGAAACCAACGGGTATTCCTTAAAAAACTTGTTTTCAACTAAACAAGCTAAACTTTTATCACAGTTGTCGCCCAAAAACGCAGATAATAGAGAAAATGTGAATGGAAACCGCGTAAACGGTGTCCGTACTACGTGGGATTTGACTTTATTGGTTACAACATGGACAATCTCGAGATCCTGATCAGATAGAAAGTTACTGTCTTCGGCAAAGATGTTCTAGAGATCATAAACTTTTTGTGGGTGTAGAGTAGTTCAGAAAATTCTTACTACGTGGCGCTAGTATATACGTGCAATTTTCGCATATACACTAGCTCAAGATCCTGAGGAGATAGAAAGTTACTGTCTTCGGCAACTTGTTCAGGGGGTCAAGACTTTTTGGCTGGTGGACAGTAGTTCAGAATTTTCTCACCACGTAGCGCTAGTAAACGTGTAAAATTCTCGCGTATGCTATAGCTTGAAATCCTGAACAGGTAGAAAATTATTGTCTTCGAAAAAGTTGTTCATGAGGTCAATGCCTATTGCTTGGTGTACAATAGTTCAGAATTTTCACACTACGTGGCGTTAGTATACACGTGAAATTCTCACATGTAAAATATCTCAAGATTCTGATCAGACAGAAAGTAACTGTCGTCGACAAGGTTGTTCAAGAGGTCATAACTTGTTCGCTAGTGAAAAGTAGTTCAAGATTGTCTCACTACGTAGCGCTAGTATACACGAAAAATTCTCGCATGTGGTTTGTTTCGAGATCCTGACCAGAAAGGTACTGTCTTGGACAAAGTTGTTCAGGAGGTCAAAGCCTATTGATTGGTGTACAATAGTTAAGAATTTCCTTAGCGCCGCTCCTGAATACACGTGAAATTTTCACATATAAAATATCACGAGATCCTGACCAAATAGAATGTTACTGTCATGGACAAAGTTGTTCAGGCCTATTGACAGGTGGACAGAAATTCAATTTTTTTAGATCATTGTGCTTGTATACACGTGCAATTCTTGCATTAGATATATTTCGAGACCTGATAGTACAGAATTTTCTCACTATGCGACGCTAGGATATATGTGAAAGCTTCGCATGTATGATATCTCGAGATCCTGAACAGCTAGAAATTGGTAAAGCTGTCAAGGAGATAAAGATCTTTTGGCTAATGAAAAGAAGTTCAGAAAATTCTCAAAACTTGGAGGGCAATTCTCGCATATCAAATATCATAAAATAAAAATAAAATTTACATCAGCCTAAGTGGGATAAGACAAATATATTCTGGATTTCTTTTACTTGTGAAGATTTTCATGCAGATTTGTGGATACATAAATTGGGGTGAGTCGTTCCACTTATATACCTCTGATAAATTAGTGGTAATACGTATCTCAGATGGAAAACATTATCTTAAAACATCAATATCGCTGAAACTTCCACCTAATGAACGTTTAGAGTCTCCCTTTCATTATAGACTAATTTCAAAATGTCTTATTTACGTGTGCACGGACAACGAGACTAACTCAGTGAGTGAGGCACTTTTGTTCAGTTGAATGGAGAAATGTATAAAACCGTACACTCCCGACACCCCCAAAACCATGCAAATGAGTAATGTTCATAACTTTGTCACTTTACGTCCAATTTTTGATCTTTTTAGAACATTTGAAAGATTTTGAAGGTTCACCCAAAGTTACACTATTTTTTAAAATGTACTCTGAAGAATCATGATTGATTTTCTCGAAAATAAATATTTGAAATCAAAAGTATTAGTAGAACCCTTATGCTATACCTTGTATATAATTCAAGTAACCTAAGAAGATCAATAATTGGACGTTAAATGAGAGAGCTTTAAACAAAACACATTTGCATGTATTTTGGGGGTGTACTTAAGCTTATGATCAGGAGTGTAGGTTACCCGAGCAAAGTAAAATACCAACCTGATATCATCTTGAAAACAAGTCTTGTTATTCCAGATATCATTTTGTTTTCAGTTGTAATCGCATAACTAATTTAGTTATCAACATCGACTAATTTAGTTATCAGATTGTTGTTATCATGAAAGAATATGAAATGATGAAGGTTACTTTAAAACTTCAAATATTATCCGCATGGTAAGAAAAAAACACACTGCCAAGTATGTATCAGTTATCTGCGTAAGGCTTTAATACCAAATCGATAAAATAATTTGAAATTTGTTGAAAATATTTGCGTGGATCACAGGATGTGTTATCATGATGTTTTCGATGATAACTAAATCAGTTATTTTTGTGATATCCATGGAGTAATTTTTTGTTATAATTTTTGTTATGTTGGCTGCTTATTCAACCACATTTTCAGTTATCAAATCTTGATAACCAGGTATCAGAACTTGTTATCAATTTGGTATAATCCTTTGCTCGGGTACTCAGCGCTGAGTGAACTACGCTTTTGGAAATTTCTCCAGACAACTGAGTAAAGCAATAGCAAAGGGTGTGTATATATTATAAACATTTTACATTACATTACACATTACACATGTAACCATAAATTCGACGTCACACTCCTAGCAGCGTAGGAATAACGGTATAATCAAAGATATGATAATTTCATATTATTACGTCTTTTCTTTATGACTTTGGATGAACCTACTCAGTTTGATTTTTTTGCCGAGATGGGCACCACCGAGCAGCTCTTTATTTTATTTTGCTGGATCTCAGCGAAAAACTTGCCACGTGGTGAGAAAATTCTTAACTACTGTCTACCTAAAAAGTCTTGACCCCCTAAACAACTTTGCCGAAGACAGCAACTTGCTAGCTGATCAAGATCTCGAGCTGAATATGCGGAGAAAGGCACGTATATACTAGCGCCGCATATTGAGCAAATTCTGAACTATTGTCACCCAACAAAAAGATCTTGATTTCCT